ATACCAGCATTTTTATTTTACTTTTATTTATTTTCATACAGTTCTGTTTTGTTAGTACCGCATCCATTTTATTTAATGCTATCTCTATATGTTTTTTATTAGTAGTAAACTATAATACATACTTTTTTACAATTTATGCTGCCTAGGAAAGGGGTTTATATTTCATAAAAACAGTTAGGTGACGAGTAGGGGCCGTTGCTTAGACGTCTTAAAGGAAGTTTCACTCTAATAATATAGAAACAAGCATAAATTTGCTAGGATTAAACCTCTAAAATTATTTTATTTTTATTTCAGATTCTGTAACTTGACCGAAATGGTTTTTAATAAATTCCTTTTGTTTGAGGCTACATCGTCGATTATTCTTATTGCAGTTTGCTTACTTATACTTACTAGGGTAAGGTAAAATGAGATTACCTTTCAAGTAGTCCTGATTTTGCCTCTCCCCCTTTTTTTTAACTTCCTGTGTTTCCTTCGTAAATACTTTGATAATAATTATTAATTTTCTGTTAGAGTGTCGGTGGAGTGATGTTCGCTCATTCCATACTGTTTTTGATCAGTTTTTTGATATCTATATTTTGTTACTGCTATTTTGGAAATCGACTGACATTGACGGTAAGTGTTTGCCAACAATTATACTTAATTTATGTAAAAGTAGGTGTTTGTGTGCTTACAGAGTGTGTACCTTCAAAAATAGGAGTTTTTAGTGGTAGATTTAAATTTGCAAAAGATGAACTCTTCAGTCCTTGGTAAGCTACTGAAAAGACTCCTATTCTTGACACACTCATCGTCACTACAACAACGCTACTCTAAAAATGTGACTGTACAATTAGCACTTAACCTTATCCATACCGTCTTTAATAGTTTCAATTTCTTGAATGAAGATTTCGCTTGTGAAGTGACGATAATTGCTAGTTATGTAATGATTTCATATATTTTTTGAAGTCTTTTTGTGGAAGATATTGAATTTTCTAGAAGAAATGTTTTTTTTTTTGAGAAAAGTCTCTTTTATTGGTTTATATTTTTATGTTAAATTAAATATGTTACAAGAAAAAGTTTGTACCTACAATTTTATTTGATACAAATGTGCGAGGGTTAGTTTTCATTAAAATTAGATGCAATATCTAGACATAATTTTCAATTTTAATTGGGATAAGTAAGACTATAAACTGTTTGGGTAAATAAATATTATATATATCGTTCTTAATTTTTTCACTGTCTGGCGCATTCACCATTTATTAGAAATTAAAATATATTTTTTAACACAAAGTACAGTAGACCCCTTTAGGTCGAACCTCCAAAACTCGAAAAAATATTTTGATCCCTTCCCTAGTCGAAATAATTAGTGAATCCCTGCAAGCCATTTCGGTCCATATTTTCCCTCTATAACTCGAAAAATTAAATTGGACCTCTGTATCTCGAACATAGCAATGTTTTATTCTACAATCTTTACAACTCGATAATTTAAAACTTATTACGTCTGTAGTTTGAAGAAAACTAAGATATTGACTTTAAGGATTTGCCGACAATGTAAGTACATCAAATCATAACTTTTACAAGTCGAATCAAAATCCGCCTAAGTCAAAATCCTTCATAAGTGGAAAACTTATAACTTAAATTTTTTTGGCGTCTCCCTTGATGTTCGAGTTATAGAGGTTCTACTGTAATTTATTAGACAAATGTTACCTACTCATTTTTACAAAAGCAGAAATAGATACTTGTTTGTTGTGAATTGATTATGTTTTTTTTCTTATTACTAGTCGATGGAAATTCATTACTCCTTATATGAAAACGATTGGACTGGCGCTAGCAAATCCTTCAAAAGTTCAATGAGAATTATAATGATGAGAATGATGAGACCTGTCTGTTTGACAGCAGGTGGTATATCCGCGGTAACCCTTGATACCTTTGTTCAGGTAAAAGCACGTAGATATATATGTATACTAAGGATCAGCCACCGAAATTTAATTATTTTTTTTTGAGTATTTTTACTTATTTCAAGTCCTTGTACAATTTTTTTTACTAAAAGGTGAATTTATGCGTTGGAGGGAAGGGTAAGTTTTCGGGTTTTCATAACTTTCGCATGTGTGGCATAAATTTAAAATGAAAATAACAAAAAAACACTATTTAAACAATTAACGAAATTTATGTATCAGCAACAAATTAAACAATAAAACAAACAGATGAAAAAAATAGAATGCAATAGCCAAAACACACAATAAAATTACAATAATAATAACAATGTAGAACACAAAAAAGAACTTACTAAGTATAGAAACAAACTGGACGAAAGTGTCAGACTGTCAAATGTAGAGAATACAAATTTTTTGTTTTTGTGGAAGAAGGGAAATCTTCAAAAGTCACCCAGCCATCCGTACGATCGGGTACTGTCGGATTCCCGAGGAAGGTGTCCTCGGACCTACCGACTAAAACCTCTCTACCTCAGGTCGTTATAGGACCTATCAATTCAGGTCCTCTTCAGCCGTGTATTTTATGTGTTCGGTGTAAATCAATAATTTTTTTTTTAATTAAATTATTCTCGAGGAGGGGAAATCTTCAAAAGACACCCCCTGAAG